CCATATAGCCCGCCCAAATTGAAACCGGTCAAAAATTTCACGCCAGACTGTAAGCCGCAATACTGATATGTACCCATTAATCTTCCCAGGAAACTTCAACCTACTTCCGCCCCACCGGCTCTCTGGTTTTGCTGTATTGAAAACCTGGCTACGGAACACTGTGCCATTGACCCATTTTTGCCCTAAATTAACATAGTATCGACGGAAATTTTGTGGGTCATCACTGTAACTAATCTTCAACTCGGAGTTCCGACTAAATTCCGTGTTGCACCTAGGAGCTGAACAAATTCGCAGGTCGCGCACCGGAGACTCGTGAGGTATGCGCCTACGCGCACAGACTAGAGCCAGAACAGCTGCGCTCAAGGGGGCAACCAGCCTCTTGGAATAAACATCTTGGACTCGAGTCCTCTGGCTAATGACGGAGAATCACCGGTCGTAGTAGCGAGCACACATTCAGGGCAGTCAGTTTAGTTCCGATGTTGGATATATTTTATCCAGGCTGGGCCCGTTGCCTCACTCATGCCGGATTGTGCCGACCGAACGGCCGCTTTCTCGCGAAGTTGGCGGCCGACGATCAATCACTATGCGGTTGCCAGGCAACGGACCCTTGACGGCGGAAAAATCGGCATGCAGATGCCGTTTCAGCCGGCGTCTCCGTCGAAAGCCCCCGTGAACCTGGTACAGGTATGTGCGCACAAGAGCTTACGAATTAAGGTAGCGACGTGATGTTCTCCGCTCTTGAATTTTAGCGACGCCAGAGTTCAGGATAAGCGGCATAACAGCATTTTTCACTGTAAATCGTGCTGAAAAACTTGAATGCCTCAACCGGTACGTCCTCGAATCGAATGAGGATTTCCTACGTTAGCAGTGCAATGCCTTAGGCCTAGCAGGTACACACCATGTGCTATCGGGTGTTCTTACCGCAATGACTTGTGTGCCCTCTATGCATCTATTGAGGACAAAAAAGCTTGGACCCAACCTCCAATCGAACGAGGGTCTCCTGCTTAAACATTCTTCTTGCAGTACCACCACAAGTAGTGCAGGTGCACACCATGTGCTATCAGGTGTTTGTGTACCTATTCCTTGTGTGCTTTTTATGCATGACTTTGAGGCACAACAAAATGTAAGATGTAAAAAGTGGTAACAGGGCTTGGCACACACCACCACCCGACCTCGAATCAAACGGGTCTCCTGCCAAACTACGTTGATTGAGCTCAAGTGATGCAGGTGTATACCATGTGCCATTGGGTGTCCCTCTACTTGTTCCATCCTTGGCTAGCTCACAGGAAAATAACTCAATGCTTCAAGAGAGAAAAAACCAAAGAGGAGAGTTGAAGCACCCGACCCCGAGTTGAACAAGGGTTTCCTGCTCAAACTTCGTGGATCATAACCTAAGTGGTATGTGTGCACCGTGCACACCATGTGCTATTGGGTGTTCTTAAAGCTATTATTCCTGGGCTGTGTTGCCTAATATCGAGGTGGAATAAATCACTGTGATATAAGGAAATTACAAGAGGTGCATCACCCGACCCCGAATTGAACGAATCTCCTGCTCAAGGTGTTTCGCTTACGCCGCACGTGGTGCGGTGCACACCACGTGCTATCAGGTGTTCCCATTCTTCCTTGGGTATGCCTCCTCATCCCAAGGTCAGTATTAAAAAAATAGTCCGTGATTGCACACATATCACCCAACCCCGAATCGAATGAGGCTCCCCTGCTCCCTTCTTTTAGAGACTCTCAGACAACTTTTTAGAGATTTTCAGCAGGTGTTGCTCTTCCTAGATATTCCTTGGCTATTCCTCAAGCTCAAGGCAGAATCAAATTAATCTTGAAAAAAGACTGAAGCATTTTATCACCCGACCTCGAATCGAACGAGGCTCTCCTGCTTAAACTATCTTGATCTCAACCAAAGTAGGGTAGGTGCACAATGTGCTAGCGGGTGTTTCTGTACCTGTTCCGTTATTGGCTATACTGGCTAATATCAGGGCAGAATAACTCAATGTTGAAAAAAAAGAAAAAGTAGAAGTGATTGGGCGCACCACCTGACCCCGAATCGAACGAGGGCTTCCTGCTTAAGCTACTTCCAACAATCTAAGTGGGGCAGTATGGCGGTCAGAGTGCCCCTTTAATAAAATCGGGGTAAAGTGTCTGATTTTGGCCACAATTCGACGTACCAAGAGATGAAATTTGACTGGAGGAAGACAAACTCCTTGCATGCTTGACCTCTGTCTTTTTTTGCACACCCAGAACATTGTCTTTGGTTCACTGAACAAAGGCTTTTGGTGGGTAAAAAAAATCTGAACCTGAGAAAAAAAAAGTGTTGAGTAGAAAAAAAAACTCAACCACGGTCTTCTTTCCTGCCGACCAGAAAAGTTTTGGACTGCAACACAAACTTTCGGAGGTAAGTGGCGGTGCTAACCCTAATTTAATCGATTGATCTGGTGTCCGTATCCGGCTTGATGTAAGTTGTTCTTTGCTAAGGTAAGTCAAGTAACATGCCATCTATCCCACAGGACATCATAGGTGACACCTTCCAGTTTCTGGTAGACAAATCCAGGTCCCGGATGCCATCTATGTGAACATCCCGCACAGTTGTACATCTTCCGAACCATCTCCCTTGGTGATGGTCTACAGGAGGGGTTTGTTAGGTTCCTGTGCATTTCAATATTCGCCTGCCCCGCTTTTCTCGCCTCTTATGGGCTGCGTCATCCCTCTTCCTATGCCGGGTCTGCCGAACCAGGGAACGACTGAGATAGATGCTGAATGACGAGAACGTCTGATCCAACAGACACATCTCGCGCGATCGTCCCGGCGTCGCTGAGGCGTAATTCTTCTTCGTTTTTAGATCCACGGTGAAGGAAGAGGTGAAGTCCTACTGACAAAAGAAAGTGTCTTTGTTTCTCGTTGCTTTCTCCTGGATTCCGAGGCGGGCTTCCCTTTTTGTTTTTTGTTACTGCGATGGGAGGCGGCGCAGGCTGCGGGTCTCGCCGCGCTTGGGTCGCACCTGATTCATCCACTGCGGACTACTTTGAAAATAATACGCGAAGCCCTACATTGCACTACCAGCCTTGGACGCAAAAATTGGGCCCTGGTATTAAATGATTCAATTATGCGGTCTCAGTACCGTACTCAAACCAAAGCCGTAATACAAAAACCTACATCGGGGAAGTCCTACTTTAGAAATAATACACGAAGCCCTATTTTGCACTACCATCCTTGGATGCAAAATTGTTCAACGCCCTCTTCAACTCTGAAATATGTCCAATTTTTAAACCAGCGTTCTCCAAATCCGTATCAGTCACTTTGAAAAGTGCCCCAACCGTCTTGAATCCTTGGTCGTCAAGAAGTTTATGAAAAGTGCAATGACCCAATCCCTGGCATACAAAATAATACGCCAAATAAAAATGGAAAAAGACAGCTACGTCGATGCTCTAGACCGCAACACCACTCGCAGAAACATGGAATATGCCGTCGGTGCGGCCAAAGAGGCAAATAGGAAGATACCACAAGAGAAGGAACTATGGAAAGCAACACAACATAGAGACTTCTCAAGAAATATACACTTCTTCATGTGGATGATCATGCACAGCGGCTATAAAGTCGGAGACCACTGGAAAGACATCAAGGGTCAAGGGACATGACCATAAAGCAACATGCACAAAATACCTGTTCCTTCCGTGGCTATCCATGACTTGAGGCAGGATAAATCAATAAAATGCTGAGGAGAACCTGGAAGCACCCGACCTCGAATCAAACGGGGATGTCCTGATCAACTCTTTCTCAATTGTCATGTAAGTGGTGCAGGTGCACACCATGTGCTATCGGGTGTTATTACAACTATTCATTGTGTGTGCTTTATGAATGACTTTAAGGCAGAATCGTGTTGAAAAAGGGAAAAAAGAGGCAGTGCATGGACTCAGCACCCGACCCCGAATCGAACGAGGCTCCCCGGCTTGAAACCTGTTTTTGCATTCGACCCAAGTGGTGCAGGTGCACACCATGTGCTATCAGGTGTTCCTATACCAAGCTTTCCAGCGGCTATACATGACCTGAGGCAGGATATATCAATGTTGAGGAAGGAAATGCTGAGGAGAACCTGGCAGCACCTGACCTCGAATCGAACGAGGCTCCCCAGCTTGAAACTTGTTTTTGCATTTGACCCAAGTGGTGCAGGTGCACACCATGTGCTATTAGGTGTTCCTATACCAAACTTTCCAGCGGCTATACATGACCTGAGGCAGGATAAATTAATGTTGAGGAAGAAAATGCTGAGGAGAACCTGGCAGCACCCGACCCCGAATTGAACAAGGGATTCCTTCTTAAACTAGATTGAGCGGAACAATGCAAGTGAGGCAGGCGCACACCATGTGCTAACGGGTGTTCCTCTACCTAGATCACCTTTGGCTATATTGCCTATCTCGAGGCACAATAAATTAATAAGGAAGAAAAAAGCTTGAGGAAACAGAAGCACCCGACCCCGAATCGACCGAGGCTCCCCTGCTCAACTTCTTTGAAGCACTCAAGTGGTGCAGGTGCACACCATGTGCTATCGGGTATTCCTATACCTGTTTCCTCCTTTACTACACTGCCTAATCGAGGCACAACTTGAAGGTGAGAAAATAATCCCCACTTCTTCAACCCATCACCCGACCCCGAATCGAACGGGTCTCCTGCTCAGACCATTTCCAACCAGATAAGTGGTGCAGGTGCACACCATGTGCTATAGGGTGTTCCTCCCTTTTATGGATGATTTTGAGGCGGAATAGATTAATGTTCAAGAAAGAAAATTGGAAGCCCAAAGTGGATCACCCGACCCCGAATCGAATGAGGGTCGAGGGTTTCCTGCTTAAACTCTTTGAATACACACAATGTAAGTGATGCGGGTGCACACCATGTGCTAGCGGGTGTTCCTATGCCCAGTCCTTGTGTCCTTTTTGTACAGAGGTTGAGGCAGAATAAAAAAGCAATGCTCAACAAAAAGTAATCGGAAGAAGAGGTAATCACCCGACCCCGAATCGAACGGGGCCCTCCTGCTCAACCTTCTTTTATAGACTCCCAGACAAGTAGGGCAGGTGCACACCATGTGCTATCGGGTGCTCTTATCCCTATTGCTTGTGTTCTCTTTATTCACAACTTCGGGGCGGAATAAAATCAATGCTGAAGAGGGACGTTATCACCCGACCCCGAATCGAACGGGTCTCCCCTGCCCAGACTTTGGTGATCACGCGGAAAGGGGTGCAGGTGCACGCCATGTGCCATCGGGTGTTCCTATGCCTAAATCTTCCCTGGCTATACTGGCTAATCTCAAGGGCAGTAATGAAAAAATAGTGCGTGATTGCACACATATCACCCGACCCCGAATTGAACGGGTTTCCTGCTTAAACTTCAAATTGCAATCATGTAAGTGGTGCAGGTGCACACCATGCGCTATCGGGTGTTCCCTCCCTTACCTTTCTCCCTCTTATGGACGACTTTGAGGTGGAATAAATTCATATTCAAGAAGAAAAAATTGGTCAGAGGAGTGATCACCCGACCCCGAATCGAACGGGGTCTCCTACTCAACTTCTTTTGCAGACTTACAAGATAAGTGGTGCAAGTGCACACCATGTGCTATCGGGTGTTGCCGATCTATCCCTTGTGTGCTTTTTATGCAGAGTTCGAGATGGAATCAATTGGAAGAAAAAGGACTGATTTTGTCGTGTCATCACCCGACCCCGAATCGAACGGGTTTTCTCCTCAATGCTTCAAAGGAAAAAGCCCAAGTGCTGCAGGTGCACACCATGTGCTATCAGGCGTTGCTCTACAGTCAACTTCTCAATAACCTATAGCCGTGATATCCCATACTGAGTGATATCCCATAGCTCTAGGGCTGTCCCAAACCACCATTTCCCTGCCAAACGGCGTCGTGATAACCCATAATTTTCTTCCTTGGCTATACTGGCTATCTCAAGACAGGATAAATCAGTGTTGAAAGAAAGAAAAATGGTATCATGACTGGGGTATAACCCGACCCCAAATCGAACGGGTCTCCTGCTCAACCTTTCTGGACCTATCTCAAGTGGTGCAGGTGCACACCATGTGCTATCGGGTGTTCCTACACTTAGATTTTCCCTGACTATTCCTCGAGCTCAAGGGAGGATAAATCAATGCTGATGAAGAAAAAATCTCGAGGGAAGCCGCAGCACCTGACCCCGAATCGAACGAGGCTCTCCTCGTGGAATTTTGTGGAATAGACGACTTAAGTAGTGCAGGTGCACATCATGTGCTATCGGGTATTCCTATACCTTTTTACGGTGTTCTCTTTATTTGAGCCACAATAAAATTACTGTACTATTTCGTTCAAATTGACAGTCACGCGTCACGCACCCCCCTGTCAATGTTGAATTTTAGTTGCGGTCACGTGTCACTCGGGCCTCTGTCGAACCTCCAAGTGGTCACACAGGTCCCTAAACTGCCCAAAAAGTGCAAAGAAGACAAAATTTTCGGTTCAAATGTCGAAATTTTCGAGGTGTCATGCAAAAATTCGGCGGCTGTCGAAATGTCGAATAGGTAAAATGTGTCACGCATCACCCCCCCTGTCGATTTGAACGAAATAATACAGTAATGTTAAGTTGTAAAAAAACAGGGGAAGGCGAACCACCCGACCCCGAATCGAACGGGGTTTCCCTGCTCAGACCATTTCCAACCAAATATATCAAGTGGTGCAGGTGCACACCATGTGCCATCGGGTGTTCTCGCATCTATCTCTTGTGTGCGCCTTATGCAGAGTTTGAGATTAATGCTGAAGAAAAAGGAGTTAAAGAAGAGGATTTCATCACCCGACCCCGAATCGAACGGGGCTCTCCTATTTAATCTTTTCTCCATGCCCAAGTGATGCAGGCGCACACCGTGTGCTATCAGGTGTTCCCCACCTATTTTTGTATGCTTTTCATTCACAATCTCGAAATTGTGAAAAAAATTGGACAAGGAAATGTATCACCCGACCCCGAATCGAACGAGGCTCCTGCTTAAACTATGTTGAGAAGAACGAAAGTGGTGCAGGTGCACGCCATGTGCTATCAAGTGTTCCCCATGTATTACGTATGTGCTCTTTATGCACAACTTCCAGGCGGAATTGTGTTAAATAAAATATAAAAAAGATAAAATTGGAAGAGGGCAAGTAGAAACCACCCAACCCCCAACTGAACGGGTCACCTGCTCAAACATTTTCGATCAAATGAAAGTGGTGCAGGTGCACACCATGTGCCATCGGGGTATTCCTATGCCCATTATTCCCTCCCTATACTGCCCTATCTTAAGGCAGAATAAATCAACGTAAGGAAGAAAAAATCTGAGAGAACCCTGCAGTACCCAACCCCGAATCGAACGGACCTCCTGCTGAACTCTTAACAGGAAATACTCAAGTGGTGTAGGTGCACACCATGTGCTATCGGGTGTTCCTATACCTCCTCCTTCCTCAACTATACTGGCTAATCTTAAGGGAACAAATTACTGTTGAAAAAGAAAGAAAAAAAAGGCAGAGGATGATTATTATCACTTGACCCCGAATCGAACGAGGCCTCCGGCCCAAACAAAGTTGACAACAATGAAAGTGGTGCAGGTGCACACCATGTGCTATCGGGTGTTCCTACACCTATTCCATCCTTTACTACTCCTCAAGAATACATCAATGTTCAGGAGAAAAAAATGAAGCAAAGGTGATGTTATCACCGACCCCGAATTGAACGGGTTTCCTGCTCAATCTTTCTACATCAGTCTCAAGTGGCGCAGGTGCACACCATGTGCTATCGGGGGTTCCTATACCAGGTTCCTACACAGCCGCGGTTTCGAGGCTCACAATCACTGTAGCGGTATTTCACAGTGAATTGAGAAATTGATGGGTCGGAAAATTCGGACCGTGTTATGTGTGATGTTACTGTGACAGAAAGTTGCGGTGAGCCTCTCCACGGCGGCTGCCCGATAACATATACAAACAGCATAGCCACATTTTTGCGAAATTAGTGAGAAATTCGGTGGGGGCTGGTTTCCCCTCGACATAAAATATGCCGTGCAGCTTAAGGGGTGTATTTATGCCTCTTAAGATTCCGGCCCTCCTGTTCAAGAATGGTGAATATATCAGCTGGGAAAAAGGCGCCATTGGTCCGAATACATCTATAGTGGTCTCCAGTCTTTGCAGCGGAATATTCCTCCAAGCTCTGAGCAACAGAATCGAATTTCTCAAAGATTTCGGCAGGTTGTGGCTATGTTGTTTGTATATGTTATCGGGCAGCCGCCGTGGAGAGGATAACCCAAAACTTTAGTCACTCTGTAACATCAGTCACAAACGGTCCGAAATTTCCGGTAACGCTGATTTTCAGAATTCAATTAAACACCCGCTACAGTGACTGTTATCCTCGAAACCGCGGCTGTGTAGGAACCTGTTCCTATACCTGTTTATGGTGTTCTCTTTATTTGAGCCACAATAAAATTAATGTTGAGTTGTAAAAAACAGGGGAAGGCGAACCACCCGACCCCCAATCGAACGGGGGTCTCCTGCTCAAATATTCACATACAACACAAGTAGTGCAGGTGCACACCATGTGCTATCGGGTGTTCCTACACTCATCTCTTCCGTGGCTATCCATGACTTGAGGCAGGATAGATCAATGTTGAAAAAAGAAAATTGGAGGAAGAGATGATCACCCGACCCCGAATCGAACGGGCCTCCTGCGCAATCTTGTTCCGGATACCTCAAGCTGTGCAGGTGCACACCGTGTGCTCTACTTAGTCCTTGTGTGCCCTTTATACATGACTTTGAGGCAGGATAGATTAATGTTTCAAAAAAGAAAAGCGAATAATGCAGAACTTGGAAGCACCCGACCCCGAATCGAATGAGGGTTTCCTGCTCAATTTTTTTGGAAGATGAAATTGAGGGCAGGTGCACACAATGTGCTATGGGTGTTCCCTACCTATCACTTGCGTGCTCTTTATGTATGATTTCAAGGCAGGAAAATGAATCAATGTTTCAAAAAAAAAAACAAAGCTGAGGAGACCTGGCATCACCCGACCGCGAATCGAACGGGTCTCCTGCTTAAATGTTTTGTGTTACCCTCAAAGTGGTGCAGGTGCACAACATGTGCTATCGGGTGTTCCTATACATGTTCCTTCCGTAGCTATTCTTCAACCTCGAGGCAGAATACATTAATGTTCAGGAGAAAAAAGCGACCACAAAGAAGTTCAAGCATGTATCACCCGAACCCGAATCCAACGGGGTCTCCTGCTCAACCGTTCTAAATACAACCTAAGTGGTGCAGGTGCACACTATGTGCTATCGGGTGTTCCTATACCTACATTTTCCTTGGTTCTATTGCTTGATCTCAAGGCAGAATATTGCAATGCCAATCAAAAGTGCACACCATGTGCTGCTATCGAGTGTTTCTATTCCCATTTAGTTCTTGACCATTCTCCTCAAGCCTGAAGCAGAATAACTCAATGTTGGAAAAATTAAAAGAGTTGATAGTGCTAGACCACCACCCGACCCGGAATCGAACAAGGTTCTCCTGCTTGAACTTTCACTGAAATATATGAAGTGGTGCAGGTGCACACCATGTGCTATCGGATGTTCCTATGCCCAGTCATTGTGTGCTCTCTATGTATGACTTCAAGGCAGGACAATTCAATGTTGAAAAAGAAAAAAAGTTCTGCAGAACCTGGAAGCACCCAACCCTGAATCGAACGGGGCCCTCCTGCTCAACCTTCTTTTATAGACTCTCAAACGGGTGGGGCAGGTGCACACCATGTGCTATCGGGTGCTGTTATACCTATTCCTTGTGTTTTCTTTCTTTGAGCCACAATAAAATTAATGTTGAGTTGTAAAAAAACAGGGGAAGGTGAACCACCCGACCCCGAATCCCGAATCGAATGAGGTTCTCCTGCTTGAACTTTCACCGAAATATATGAAGTGGTGCAGGTGCACATCATGTGCCATCGGGTGTTCTCGCGCCTATCTCCTTTATGCAGAGTTTGAGATTAATGCTGAAGAAAAACGAGTTAAAGAAGAGGAGTGATCACCCGACACCCGACCCCGAATCAAACGGGTCTCCAGCTCAACTCTTTC